TAAAAAATATACACTCTCGCGCACATGTTGTTGCTATGGTAGCTGATAGCTATTAAATAAATGTGTCGTGATATTAGATATATATATATATATGATCAGGCATTTCATCTATACTTCCATAACCCAGTTTTTATGATCTACTTACTTTCTTTCCTTTATTAACAGCTTAGCAAATTTTAACGTTTGTTGCTGTTTGTTGGTTGGTTTTAGAGCAAAGCCGTATTGGGCTATCTGTTGTGTGACCACCGCGAAGAATCGAACCCTCCCCCCTCCGAATTTTTAGCATTTTAAGTCCATAGACTTACTTCTGTCCCACTGTTTTTTTTCAGTAACTGTTTTCTAGTTTGGACTTAACCCCCCCAATAAACTCTCTAAATTAATTTCTGTCTGTTTGTCTGTTTTTAATTATGCACAAAGCTACACAAGGGCTATCTGTGCTCTGCCCACCACGGGTATCGAAACCCGGTTTCTAGAGTTGTAAGTCCGCAGAAAATTAATTTCTGGAGAAGGACTGATTCGCAATACGTTATAAACAAACGTTTGTCGGGCAATATGGTTCGATATTATAATACAATTATAAATAAAAAAGCAGAAAAAAACCTTACCCGTTCGAGTCTATCAACTGAAGACGCTTCTGCCCGCCATTATGAGCTACACAATTACTTACAAGAATATCAAACCCCGCTATAAAGGATATAAAAATATAATGCTTTTAAATTAAAATAAATTTGGTTGATTAATTATTACTATCACTGATGATTTAAAACAATATTATAGTAGAAAAATGTTTTTTGATTACTTGTTACACTATTCAGATTACTAAATACTCATTGATCATAGATTCTATAAAGTAGACTTAACCCAACGTTTACTAGCCTTTACTCTTATGCAAAGGTCTAGAATAGCCGAATGGTTAGCGTACCGAACTGTTTATCCGAGGTTCCGTGGTTAGCGCCCCATTATTGCCAAAAAAAAGAACTGTCGCGGGCCACTCACGTGTAAGTACAACGAAACACTATTACGTTTTACATATAAATATTCTGTAAGTATTTGTTTGTTTGTTTTCGTGAAATCCCACTGAGCGGCAAAGTGAGTGTAACGGACTGTCTCCGGTACGCTGACCGGTGGTTAAGTATGGCTAGGGTATACTTATAACTCTCGAGTATCTTCACGTGATATTCAACGAAGAAGAAGAACATCTGCAGCAAACTTTTATTTTGTAAGTTATACGTATAAAAATACAGATCAGAGACTATTTAATTGACGCGTTTTAACAACTGCAGTGCATTTACCACGGATAAGAATACAATGAAATATTAGTTGCCGAATTTAACTGAATGCTCACACGAGGGAGCATGACAAACAACAACAAACAAACAATGAAATAGTAGTGCCGAATTTAACTGAATGCTCACACGAGGGAGCATGACAAACAGTGCCTAGCATCGTAAAATATGTTTGTTATGAATACACTATCTCACGTAGAAGCGCGCTAAATAAGTATTAGTATTTTCAACATGAACATACTTTTATGCGACACATAAGTTAACACACCTAGAGTTCAGGTACAGCCAACCCTAATTTAAAACTGGTGACCAGAGGAAGAGTGAGCAGGCAGTAACATCCTCAGCTTATGTATCTATTAATCCACTAGCAGGATTGACTGACAGAGTTGCTAGCTCCACAGTACATAATAGTTAAAAGTGTGGAGCGTATTTAGCTATAATTCAGATCTTCAGCCTCGGACCTTTTGATAGGCAGTCCGGCACACTAACCACAAGGTCATGGCAAGCCAGGTGTATTGGATGTGATAATAAGATTCTAATCTTTGTAATTTATGTCCATTGTTAACATAATTCTAAAGCTAAATGTAAACTCAAGCTGGTGTGATAATTGTGTTTGTTTACTGCGTATTTTGTACTAAAAATCACGTGAACATTTTGTTAAATGTTAAGGAATAAACGTTATTTTCATTTCGAAATTTTGAAAATTTCTTAAAATCCATGTTCAACTTAACTGTTTTCAGTCTTCATATAGATGACCAAAGTTAATGGTTCTCCCACACTGACGGGACCATCTGTCCGCTGGCCTTTCACATCGAATCCATTTCTAATCTCCATATAACACTGAGGCGGGGTTAAAGTAAACACGACAGGATTACCGGGACTTACCCTGGATTAATATCAAATATTTAAACAAGTTTTGAATTAATTTACACCTCTTATGCTTTGTAGCTTCAATGGAATTTGATACTAATGCTTTAAATAAAAACAAGGGTACCAACCTTTGTAAATATATATATATATTAGGTAACCTTTCATCAGTTTATTCTTTGGAATTTTATTAGATCTGGTCATTTCATTTTAAAATCACGACAAACATCTTAAATAGGTACAGAGACATGAATATGCTATATTAAACAGATTTTGAAGTCTCACCATGTCGTAACAGTCCATAATGCCATGTACGTCATGTTCTATCTGACGAAATGCATTTTAGTAATAGTCCTGCAGCGTAATTTCTGTAGCAAAAGGTTTCATCGTGAGATTGTCATGTCAAAAGAACATCAACGCACCTTGTATTCTTTCTATAATCCATCTATTGTGTGAGATCGATGATTTACCAATGCCCAGCGACTTGTCCGGTATATTTTTGTATGGAATAGTGTGAATAACCGTTTCCTTCTCCACCTGCTTGAGGTATAAGAAGGTTGAACAGGAAATATGACTGGAAGCCTTATCTTGGTGAAACTTTGCCTTGTTGACCTAGTTTCCAGACGGAAATTCTTCTTAATTATGCTGCATACTGTTCTTGGGGAATGTGGACGACTTTTGCCACTGAACTTTGTGTTTATGGATTCTCACCTGTTATAATACTCTGCTCGCCAAGGCTGGGGTACGACTTCTTCCAGGTCTTTTTGTGGATGGTCCTGATTCCCCAGATTTATACATATCCCTTTTTCCAATGCCATTAAGTATACAGATATTCTAAACACCTGATCTGAAAATATCTTTATGCTCTTGGTGTATAAAGAATTTGCGTCGTATTTTATTATTATTAATCATTCCCAAAAGCGATCAATTTTCGGTGGCATTACACTACCTACGTAACGCCAAGCAATGGGAAAATGTAGTTTTGATGTGTTCTGTTCCACAGCGACCTTATATCGACTGTGTTCGTAACGTAACTTGCATATTTTCATTTTCAAAATCGTTTTAAGATAACATACTTCACTCTGTATGGTTATTTAGGGAACTCGTGTACATCAGTTGTTCTGTGGAATTTAATTTATTAGTGTCTAATCTATGTGTTTATAATTCATTTGCAGACGATTCATATAAATGTTTGTGGTATGCATTTACTCTGTTTCTATCAGTAATTCTAAAACATTTTAAACTATTTATTTATTTAATTATTAGGGTGTCGTATTCGTGATTAATAAAATTTTCAAAATAATACTAGGTTCAAATCCAAGACACGGCATGCAATTCTCATCTATAATATGGCTAATAACAAACGTATTTAAGAATTCTCAACTAATTCATGATTTTGTTTAGTTTTGTTACGTTATTTGAAAACAACTGAGTAGAAAAACGACATTGTCAGAAAACTAGAGTAAAAAAAAACAGTATAGGCTAAAAAACAGTGTTTTAAAAAGTATCAGTAAGTACATGATACTAACTAGAAAATTAATGCTTCTAGAAACGAAATTAGTCACAAAATCGGTGTTTATACAAAAAAGAAACGATTAGAAAAAAACAACAACAACATAAGTCTGAAACTAGTGTTTTAGAGAAGGGATGAGTGGAAAAACAACATAGCACAGAAAACTTACTCTCAGAAAAGGGGTCGACTTAGAAAACAACAACAACAACATAAGTCTGAAACTAGTGTTTTAGAGTAGGGATGAGTGGAAAAACAACATAGCACAGAAAACTTACTCTCAGAAAAAGGGTCGACTTAGAAAACAACAACAACAACATAAGTCTGAAACTAGTGTTTTAGAGAAGGGATGAGTGGAAAAACAACATAGCACAGAAAACTTACTCTCAGAAAAAGGGTCGACTTTTCTGCCTATAGTTTTATAACAAATGAGAAAGGTAAAGTTTAAACATCCAAATTACGAATTCCACTTTAAACGTTTCAATTTTAGTACATATTAACCCGTTTATTTTGTAAGTTCAGTTTTCTTCTGACTTACTCAACGTCCACAACAGGAAACGTGATTGTCTTCCGAAATTCGTAGCCATATTCACAAGTGACGCGAAAATGTTCGTCCCACTCTTCTTCAATTATTGGGTTGTACTGTATAGTGACCGTATTCCTCATACTCCCAGGAGTGATCTATAGAAGTATCACATAATTATCAGTATAGTTGTTAAATCTCATCTCATTAGAATGGCCATAGAAGTATAGTATTACACATGTGTCAGTACAGTAGTTAAATTACAAACTTATAAAAGTAACACATCAGGCGTATCAGTATTATAATTAAATTATATCTCTTTAGGATGGATATAGATGTATAGTAAAATATGCACATGTGGTTAAATCTCGTCTTATAAGGACACAAATTACTAAAAAAAACACTAATTCTACGTGCATGCTAATTCTGTTTTATCTGCTTCCTAAAATTATGTGAGATTGATGAAACGAAAATTTAAAGAACCACGTATGTTTCAAGAGTTTGTATTTGTAAGCCTAAAATAAGAGTAACACGTGTAAACGGCGAGGTAAAGTTGTGTGAAATGGACGATATGAATATCTTAGTAACAAGTAGACTTGTGGTTTGAAAGATTTGTTAGAACTCTTTCCAACGAAGAATATATATACAGCAAGACTGTATAGAGAATGACATGGTATATTATAATTTGCTTGTACTGTCGGCAGCCAGGGTGCCATCAATTCTGTGTTGATCACCTTCATCGTTGGCTGAGATGCAGTTACAAACTTGTACTGATTCCTTACTATGATTCACTGTATACGTCATACATTAGTAATAACATCGTTCTTCCATCTGCCAACATGTTGAACAATTTAATCTTGATACACCAAACATAAAACAATAAATACATAAAACCAGATGCTTAGACCAATAAACTATTTTCTTCCATTGTTTTTTTTTAAAACTGAAAAAGTCGTTGTTTCTCCTTCTTGTATATTCTGAGTAATGAACACGTAGTTTGTATACCAACACACAAGTCCATCTAATAATGCTTGGAGACGGCTTGAATGGGTAATGGAAAAAAACGTTATTATTAGTCTCAAAGTGGGTTCCTCATCATCGAATTTGAACACAAGCCATCTGGTATGTTAGTAACTTAAATATTCAACTTGTATTATCCAGACTAAGAGTTTTATCCAGTCGGTTTGAATGTAGATTCATCTGTAAAGATCACACACCTCCAGCTTTGCTCATTTTTAAGTAGATACATGTCTAATGATACCATTTCCTGCTAATACATATTTTACTGTTTCTGAGATGAAATTTACACCTATATTTATAGTGTGTACTCGACGGTCGTAAAGAACATACTCTAAGATACTTAACATCTCTTCATTGGAAAGTTTCGGTTGCTTACCTCGACCACTTCTATTATTGACAGTTACATTTTCATGCAACATCTTCAGAGTCTTACATATAGTCTCTACTGATACACGGAGTCTTGCATGGAGTTTCCTTGAATATCCAAAATCTCTATTTGTGCACGTTTGCTATACACTATCTTAGTCCTAAGATCCTTGAATGAGTATATATATATATACAACAATACGTGGCAGGAATTACCGGGGGTGCTCAGAAGCTTTAGCCTCTCTTCGCCCCTCTCGTGATGGTGGTGTGGGCTGTACTTGATTCTCGTTTTCGTGGAATGGATAGATACACTAGGTTTGATGTTTTGTGGTTTAAGCATGGCAGATTTTAAGATGCCTCAAGCAGTCAGGAGGAGACCAGAGAGCCTTGAATAAGGGTGATCCCGGATTCACAAATCAAACGGCCCCTATGGGATATAAGGTCTTTCAGGGCATCAGGGATCTTTAATTACAAAGCCACAGAATTTTGCTGTGGAAGGAAGCAGAAGTGCCCCGAAAAAGTATGCCCGGACCGTGCCCGAGAAAATTTCCGAACGAAAAAGAAAGTCAATGGTTGAGAAGACGAGGATTAGTTTCTCATAAGATAGCTGCAGTCGGGATGCTGTAAGCCTGGAAAGGCACGACTGTAATCGTCATCTTCACTATAATCATGGTAGGTTGAGTCAAAGAGATAGAAGTTTTCAGGTACTATAGTATCATTGGGTATAGATCTGAGTCGATGAGGAAGGTTACAGAAAGGTTGTTCACTGAAGGTAGGCAGTAGTTGTGGTTGAGTTTGTGTGGATTTTCTTCTTGCATGGGGTTTGGCCTGCGTAGTCTGGGTGACAAAAGTGGTAGTATTTGTTGATGTTGTTGCATCTTTGATTTCCGGGAAGTCAATCTGGGTGGTGAAAGTTCCTCGGCTTGTTTGGGTAAATTGGTCGGCAGTGGGCGAAATAGTGTGTGGCAACGCTTGGGTTGAAGAATTGTCGATTATTTGATGGGGCTGTAAGTTGCAAGGCTTGTCGACGATTGCCCCGGTAAGGCTTTTCGGCTTTGAAGTATTGGAAATAACACCTGTGATTGAGGATAAGATCTGCTGACAGTTTGGAAGGTGTGATGATCTTCATGAGTTAAGCAGTTTTGCCAGTTAGTCGGGAGCGGATCCGGTGAACTGCATATAACTTTGTGTTGGCCAATTGTTTGAGGTGTAATGGTAAGGTCGACGCCTCTGGGGAAAACTGTGAAAAGATGAGTTTTGCTTTTAGGAGTTGAGCAGGTCACACGTGGGAAGAAATGTCAGGGACTACAAAGATATATTAAGTCAGCATAGCTTGAGGGCGGGAAAAAAATTACTCCCCGTTGTAGGATCCTCGTCTTCGTGGGATCGAATGATATGCTAGGTTTAAAATGGTCCATGAAGGCACTGATTTGGCGCGGGGGGAAGTCGCAGGGTAATCCATCAAGGATGACAGGAGATACCGGCAAAGTCACAGGGGTGATTCAAAAGGCCTCTGGACAAGGACATAGCTGAAAGCACGTCTTACTATCTCGGCTGCTTGGTATGATCAGTGCATGAATGAGTGTAAACGACAAACTTGACAGTAATTTTGATTTAAGATCTTTCAGGCTTCGAAGAGGCCTGAAAAATAATCAGGGACGCTCAGAAAGAAGGTGTTTCTCTTCGACCCCAAACTAAATATTTATTGCCTAAATGCCTGGTGGCTTTATGAATTAACAGTTGGCGTTTCTTGATATTATTTATTGATGTTTACAAGGTTTTTCTGGCAAAGTTTTAGCGGCTGTGGTTATTGGCTTGGTAATCTTGTCAGACTAAGTTGCACAAGCTGGATGATGCCGCGTCAAGGCAACCGGGAGAAGAGCATCCAGAGCTGTAGACAGGAAGTAGCGCCGCAGGAAGGAGAAGTTACGTGCGGTAAGAAGGCTTGGACGACTTAGATAGAGAGAAGCTTTGTAGATATTGAAGGTCGGTGATTGTCCGGTGGCGAGAGAGACGAAGGCTGTGACCAAGGAAGTAAGTTCCAAGATAAAAGAAGACCGGAAAAAACTGGTCGTTAATCGTCAGTTATGGTTTCTAACAACGAATTAATTTGGAATTATTTATTATTTTAACACCACACATCTAGTTTCAGGAAAATAGTTCCCTGGTTATTATATTTGTATTTGTTATAGCAGTAAAGCCGGTGGGCTGATTGCTTTAAATATAGTTTATGATTAGTACTTAATAATTAGTTATTTGATATATCGTGATGGTACAACTCTTTTCAGGGTGGCTTGGATAATATATCCTATGCCTGAAGAACTTTTGTTGTGGGATGAAACAGGAGTACCCGGAGAAAACACACTTTCACGGTCAAGCACCGAATAATCTACTTGACCAGTGCCCATCCTGAATAGCTTTAATCAATTAATTGATTAGTAAAATGTATGTAGTTTCAGGAGTCATGTTTATTCATTTTAATAAAAGTTGTGTTAATTATGATTGGGTATAATATGACTGTCTGTACTTTTATAGGCTTACTACTGGTGTGGCACATTCTGATTCGTTGAATGACAACCAGTCGTATTGTACACTATAAACATGTGACTGTACTCTATGTAATTCCCGTAGTATTTGTCTTTTATACCCCTTTGATTGTGTTTGTGTGTGTAGACACTGACATCTTATATCTAAAACCTAAATATCAGAAAAAAATAATATTACAGGTGTCTTAAGCAAAGCGGGAATACTTGTTAATAGATTATTTATGGTAAAAGTGAAACGTACATTGCATTTCAATTGATTTAGAATTTAATATTTAGTTTTTATAGCAGTAGTTTGGGGTCAATCAGTACATGTTCGTATGATGTATCTCGGTTATTTGGTTACAAACTGTTTGATTACTCTTTTTTCATCTGGAAGACGATTGTTGAATTCATTCCTTTCGCCCAAAGTTCCACACCTGTTCAGCCTGATGAAGAACTCGTAAAGCTTCTCACCAGAACCATTAATGAAGACACAATCAGGGTCATGAACGTAACCAGTGCTATATATTAACCCGTTGAAAGAACCGTTGAAACGAACGTTGATTTTCATGTAATTATCGAAACAGTCTGCTGTTATATCTGTAACAATAAGTATTGTTCTATAATAATAATAATAATAAAACAGAATATCAATTCACTGTAACAATAACGGTATAACTTACAACAGAAAATAATATTGTTGATTTAAATATAAACAAATTCTTCGTGACACACATTTCTGCTCCTCCTAACGATTAATTTCACAAACATCAACGTTTGTTTCAGGGTCCGAAATTCGCAACATTTTTAATCATTCCTTCATAAAAACTTCTAACCGGTCTTTCAGGAAACCCATCTGGTCCTTATAAGGTTTAACTGGTCCACCCCAAAAACGTACATATATATTTATGTTAATTCCATTTATCAATTGCACGTATGTATGTGGACACTTATGTAACATTAAAACAAAACTCTTCAATTGAAAAGAACAGTTTTTAATTATATCACTCATGGAATGTAAATAATCTTTATTTTGATCCAGATGAACACACACACAGTAATGTGACTTGAGGTTAGTAATTTAATACCAATCAAAAGTTAAAGTATTTCTCAATTGAAATGTTATTTTTTCTCCCACATTTTGTTTCGATCTATCTCACCATTCACATGTTCCAGGAGTTTTCCTTTTCATTTTCAGACGTCATAGGGATTTTTCACAATGTTTAAAAATACGCCAGGGATCCCAAAAAGCCAGATGCTCCATTTAGGAGATTGAAGTAAAGAAGACACTTTCACGAGATGAAAACACAAAAACGGTTTTGGGAAAAAAAAGTATAGAAATGCATATTTTATGACAAGGTAAAATATGAAAAATTCTTAACAATCTTGTTGGGTCGATTAGATTATTTCTTTGCTATTCTAGTCGGCCCATGGGCCTCATAGTTTCTCAAGGCCGACTGAACGACTCGAACCTCGGACCCTGATTTGCTCCTAATAAAGTAAAAACAACAGATTGTAATGTACATAATACGAACTTCAATACCAGCTTTTTCACGATTTTGATATTTTAAAAAATATTGATTAACAATATAAATTCAGAATTTTAAAATCGTTCTCTACGTCCTCTGGTGGTTCAGCAGTAAACTTGAAAGCTAAAATACCAGGTTCAGATTACATAGCACAAATAGCTCATTGTGCTGCTTTGCGCTAAACGCCAAACAAATGATTAAAAATCATATTTTCTATAGATCGTATGATGCTACTTCAATACACCTATAGCAAGTTTACTCTATAGCCTTCAGGGAAACCAAGATGAATGGTTACGTGTATCACGTGAGAAGTCAGGGATAAGGTAATAATACTACCGTAATTCTCTGAAGACAGCTTAGTAATGAGGAATGATAATAATGTTATCGAAATTAAATCCTTACTTTGATGATTGAGCAAGTAATCCAAACTGAACTTAAAAGCAGTAGGCTTAATGTTCAACCGTTAAAGAAAACTAGTATCTCTTCCAGTTTGTCAGGGTTTGGGATTCACTGTTCACGTACTGTTTTTAAATACTGTTACAAATGGTCCATCTGTTTCAAAAGTTGTCAAACCCAGTCTATGTAACATTTCTTACCTAAGATAGTATTCTCATTCATTCTAATACTTGGTGGTTTAGCAAGAATTAAATTTATCGTATTATTTCATCAAAGATTATCAATTAGTTTTGGCAAAGTGGGCGTATTTTAAAAGAAGTTCAAATTCTAGAATTACACAGAACTAGGAACGAATAAACATACCACTCAGTTTACAGCACACACTAGAAAAACAACTTTTCTGATAGGTTGAAAAGTGAAATTGAGATACGTGCAACAGTACAAAACTATCGTACTATATTTTTAATATTTTAAACCTTGTTTGTAGTTAAGCACAAAGCTACGCAACGGGCAATCTGTGCTTTTCTAACCACGGGTATCGAAATCCGGTTTCTAGCGTTGTAAGTCCGCAGATTTTCCGCTGTGCTATTGGGGGGGGGGGGATAAACTTGTTATAATTAAAGTAAACCCCATGGAAGAAGTACACTCCAATGGTGGCTATCGTAAAACTCGGAAATTGTATTTTTTTCAAAGTTTGCATATGCTCATTTTTCTTTTCGATTAAATGAAGTTTACAAAATAAAACGAAACAAATTAAAGACAACAAATTACACATAATCTAAGTGATGCAGTATTTGTTTTCTGTATGAAAGCTCATCGGTCTGTTTTAATTTATGCAACAGGGAAAAATGTTTGATGAAAACGTAGATATATAACAATAAAAGAAGGACCTGGAACCCCCCCCCCCTCAGCGGTAAGTCTGGTGGGCTTTAATTATAAACTTGGGTTCCAATACCCGCGGTGAGCAGACCACAGTTAGTACACTGTGTAGCTTTGCGCTTAACAACAACCAAAAACCGCTCCCCTGTGACTCCGCGGTAAGTCTCGGGGCTTATAATGCTCAAAATTGGGTTTCAATACCCTCGGTGGGAAAAGATAGCACATTGTGTAGCTCTGCGCTCAACAATAAATAAACCGATAACTCAAGCGCTTTACAAAGTAGACCTTTCACCTTCAGCTAATTAAATAACATTCGGTGTCGTCCTGCATATCTTTGGTATACCTCCAAAGCAACACTTCTGTATCACTAAAAATAACTTCATTAACTTTCACAATTCCCATTCATTAACAATCACCCCTGAAACAAGAAAGTCTTGTTTCCCATTCATTAACAATCACCCCTGAAACAAGAAAGTCTTGTTTCCCAAAGCGCTCGAGTTATCGGGAATGTAATTCAATTAATTGCTTGAATAAAAAACAAAATCTCACAATCAACCCTTGGAATATTTTTAAGCCTGGATAATCCTGTGAGAAAATCATCGAAGTTTGGCCCTGGTCGAAAAGTGTCGTAAGGTTCTCTTGAATGCGTTATCAATTCTCCTGTCCATCTTCGTGATTCAGTTTCTCGTTGCAAAGGTTGTCTGACAGAAAAAACCATGCTTGTCTCTTTGGTTGATCCTGCTGCCACCCTTGTTAACTTATTGTTGGTTAGATTCTGGGCTCGACTATGACCAGTTGTTAGTGTTACCGATGTGATATTAAAACTGTTTGTTGAATCGCCATCTACTCTGGTGGATTTGATCCTACTGATTTCATCTTCTGACTACAACAGAACAACAACTTCTATAACAATGTTATAGTTTATTTCAATATTTGTTTATGTTTATACATTATTTCTATATACTATATAACACTAGGCTACAAACTACACTGTGCGAAGGGTAAAATGGACATTAGTGAAAGAGATATCCTAAGATGTAGGAACCTCACAGGGGGGTAAGAAAGAAAAAACGCACTTGAAATTATGTAAGTTAGCAAACTTTTGCATCTCTCTCTCAGCTAATTCGAAAATGATTGATACGTGTATATTATGTACAGTTGAAAATATTTTGTTTTAAATAAGCCGTCAGGGGAACCAAAATTACATCCTGAGCTTGGATAATTAGATATATCAACATACTTACGATTATCTCATTTATTCAACAATACACGTTAAATGAAAATAGTAAAAAGTTCAACAAATTGTCACCAGGCGGCTATATCTTTGTATCTTTACAAAATCAAACGGAATTTTCCTGATACGGTGTGTTGGGTTCAGAAAACATTTAAGTTTCTCACAAGAACTGACCAGACTTAACATGGAGTATTTATAGGAATAGGTTTGAGACGTTTTCGATCTTGAGGGCATTTTATGTATACTAAAAGCCCATGTCAGAGATCCCTAATAACCATTGAACAGATTGAGAGCAACCAGCCTCTAACGCTTGTAAACTAGGCGACTAACTTTAATCAAATAACGGGACTGACTGTCACAGTAGTTATAACATTCCCATTGCTAAAAATGCGGAACCTTTGACCTTTAGATCCACAGTCAAACACACGTGTACTAACCAGTAATTCACATCCGATCTGCTTATGAGAATAGACCACGAGCTGTTAACAAAAAGTGGCTGTGTGAAAGTTATGGAATACCTTAACCCTAATTAAAAGTATGTATTTAAAAAAAAGGACTGTGGTGATCACACTCGTTTCTTCAGATGTAACCCCACCTCTTCTAAAAGCTCAACGATAAGTCTGAAAGTTTATAACGATAAAATCCGTCATTCGATACCCGTGGTGGAAACAGCACAGATAGTTCATTATTTAGTTTTACATTTAACAACAGCCAAATAAACCAAAACCTCAAGCGTAACCTGAGCAAGGTGTATCTTTGTAAAACATTATAAATAATATTTTTCATGCCTGTTTCTTAGTCAACCCTTCTGATTTTCATTTGAATAGAAGTTTCATATAAAGTAAAAATAAATATTAAGAAGAGTCATTTCTCTTGAAAGTCATATATAACCGTCTATATTTTTCTTTCTTTTTTAATTAACCAAGCTGAAATTGTCTAAATAATTCATCACACCGAATGTTTAATAGTTTGAGTTGAAGAAAATATTTTAAATTTATCAGTTTTAGTATCTTTGTGTTTGTTCTTTCATATTAAATTAGCGAAAATTATATCTGTTGATTTTTTAGTAATACGTACGGTTTTGATAATATTTAATAAGTTAGCCTAATTTACACTCAATAACTATCACGTTATATTTACTCATCTGCCTACATTATCCGCGTTCTAACTCCAGTTCTAACCTCTCTTGATTTTTACACTATCAACAAGGTTATAAACAAACGTTTGTCGTGCAATATGGTTCGATATTATAATTCAAAAATCTTCCAAATGTTACAAGCAAATGAAAAAAAATAAAAATCTGAGCTATCTATGTTCAAACTTACATTACGATTTTTCGAAACTGAGGACTTTACCGATCTGATTATTTTGGAACGTCATGTAGCTGTGTTACCAACGAAAAGCTGATCACACCGTTTCGGGGCCAAGTTAACGGAAATAACGGACAGGATGTAACTTTATATGCCTACCTGAAAGCGTTTAGGTTCACCGGAAGCCCTGCTCTTTATTTAGAATGTGACATCCATATGTGTCATGGGACCTGTCCAGTAAGTAACCGTATTGTTTGAAAATTCGAGTTATCACACTGCGAACAAACTATTGTAGTTGGATGATGCTAGCGGACTATCAGGTTAGTTTGTTTGTTGTTGTTTTTTTAGCTCTCTGGCATTCAGGACCGGAATAATGCTTTTTTGTATCTTTGTTGAATTTCGCGCGAAGCTACTCGAGGGTTATCTGCGCTAGCCCTCTAACCTAGATAGACTAGTTGGAAGGTAACTAGTCAACACCAACCACCGCCAACTCGTGAGCTACTCTAATAGAATAGTGGGATCTGATCGCCATTCTTATAATGCATAAATAGTTCCAAATGTGCGAATTTATACTTTTTAACTTTGACGGCAACGGGGCATGAATCACGGAACCTCTGGTCCAAAGTACGGCATGTTAACTACTGGACGACGCTCGTCCCAGAATAAAACTTTGAGTTATAATGTAAATTACTTTAAGAAGATAAAGAGAAACGTGTTAACTTCGAAAAAATAATATATATATACAAATTATATATATATATATATATATATATATATTATTTATGGTATTACATGTCCTTTTAATTTCAGTAATTTTCACGTGCTTTAAATAATACTTTATATTTTACTATACGTATTTAAAAGTAGAACACTCAATAAAGTAACGCCATAGTTCTCCAAATGCATTTCCGCGATAACCTACATTAATTGTTGATAATACCACCACGTGGCGCACGCTGTTTTTGCTTTCTTAGTTCAAAGCAACACAGTAGGATATCTTCTCTCTGTTCACAGCGGAGAGTCAAACCTAGGATCTTTTGCGTTGTTAGTCTGTAAGCTTACTGGCGACCCATTGTTGGACGTGGCGTATGCACCTTTGCGTCACTTTGTAATTAGATTAATAGAGAACGCGCAGCGACACATAGTTAAACAAAATGTTGACAACTCTGTTATTAGGTGCAAACAAATCTTGCGATGAATAACAGAATCCCAGTAAGGCTTAGGCTTCATTTGTCCGTCTTATTTCGAATGAACCTTGGTTTGTCACAATGTATCAATACACGCTGACAAGTTCTTTGTAAGTGCACTCCCTGTTGAATTGTAACTTTTGTATTTGGTTTGTTTGTAGTTAATCACAAAGCTACACAATTGGCTGTTTGTGTTGTGCCCATCACTGGTATCGAAACCCGGTTTTTAGCGTTATAACTCCGCAGAATTACCGCTGAGGTCTCCCGATGAGACAGCGGTAAGTTTATGGACTTGCAATGGTAAAATCCGGAGTTTATGAATGTTAATATATTTATTATTAATCTCATTTTGCCTATTTTATGTGAACTTACAACGCCAAAAATCAGGGTTTTTTACTTATGGTGGGCAGAGCACAGACAGCCGATGGTGTATCTTTGCGCTTAAGAGCAGCATTTAGGCTCGGCATGGCCAGGTGGTTAAGGCACTCGACTCGCAATCTGA